TGTTAGTATTGCGCTAAATTAGAGCGAAGAGAGCTGTGATTACAGCTTCTGTAAATGAAGAAAGCATTTCTTCAAGAGAATAGTGCAGTACCCTTACGAATCACAACTCGGAGGGTGACTAGTTATTAATTCGAAAAATAACCTAATCAAAAAAAATTTTAAGTATACCAAAATAAGATGGATGAGTTAACAGCCCTAATATGAGAGAACACTCCTCGAATTGGACTATAACTCTCGAAAGATGATTTGATCGCACTAACTGAATTGTTGTAGTGCATGAGTACTTGCGCTTGAAGAGGAGGCGCAAACATGGATTGCGATTGTATTTATGCCCTTTTTGGAACATCAATTTACGATCTGTAGCCAAACGGAAATGAAGGCGATTAAGATGATTTTTTTGATATGCTGGCACCATAATGCGTTAGTGCTATTATTTTTCGTTATTTTCTACATTATAGCGTCTTCGTCAGTGACGAAACGTGCTGAGCTTACTCAAAAGTTCGAGAAGGCCATATAATCTGGTTGTGAGAATAAATTAGCCAAAGAGTGTCGAAAAATAGCAATCGATAGGAACTCTAGAAACGAGAGCGCTAGGGTTTCCCGTTTCTCACTTTTTTTGAATTGTTTACTTAGTATGGCAAATTCGTTGATGACACTACCACAACGTTATAATAAATCACTTCGTTTCTTTTTGCATTTTAGTACACCTGTCTCCATAAATGTCGTCATCGTCCTAAAAAACTTCCTGTGTCGCGAGATTTTCGCTCCTGTTAATCGCTCAAAAATCGAATACAAATGTCCAGTACTAACATCAGTCCAACAAGGTGCGATGTCAAGCAGTTTCGAACTGCTCACTCCTTTCAAAACTTCGGTCTTTTTTATCATAGACCCTTCTTCACTTCGAGAAGGACTAAGAGTTGATGCCTCAAAAGGAATTTCAACTGACTGCAATTTTTGACTAATTGCAGTTTCTGCGTAGATGTCGAATTAGATCTCGGCAAAATATGAGTGCGCCTTTAGATTCACAGGTCCTAAATAAGATCGGAACATACGACCAAAGTACATAACGATACTGCCATAGCATATTTTCGTTGGAGATAGTATCTACGATATTTTAGAACTAAAATGTACGCTAAAAGCTTTTAAGATTTTCAAGATATGAGGTGAAGCAAATTTTTTGTAAAATCCCTTCTTGTATTTAGTCAACTTACGTGTCGTACAGCAGGAAAAAGAAATACTAATACTGTATTTGAGGCATGGAAAAATTAAAATACAATTAAATTTAAGCTTTCATTCAGAAATCTACCTTAATATCGGGTAGATCTGTCCTTAGATCGTCGACACTGGATAATTTGGTATACCCTCGATTAATCTTGACAAGGCCGTTTTTTCACACGCTTTAAGGTTAGATTTGTTTCGGAATGTAAATGCATAGCTTGTAATCATTTTCATTACTTTGGATATGATAACCCAATCCAGATCATATTGAACTGTTTTGAAGGTCCCACTCGTCTGCGAAATTTAAATCCAGCCATCTTTTCGGAGGTTAATCGTTGCATCATTATAAATTGCTTTACAAAAAGAAACAAATCATTGGCAGCCCGTTACGTACTTCAAGATTCTTGCAGCTACAACGGGAGAGATTCTCTACAAAAATCAGCAAACATTTTCTATAGAAAGTCTCTAACTGAGATATTATCCCAGTCCGAAACATAGTAAGTTGTCATAACCTTTGTTCATTATGTAGTCAGTGGTCTGAACTAAGCTCGGAATTCAATTCAATTTTTGCATAGGATTTTTCTCCATAAAGCTCCAAAAAGTCCACTTGATTCGTTCTCTAAAGTGGCAAGAATGCAATTCCAAGCTTTTCAGTTTAACCGCGGCTGACAATCGAGCACTTTTGGTTTTTCAACATGGAATCACCTAGGCCCAGCCTAGCTATGTATAGCAAGACTTCCGTAATTGCACCTTGTTACGATCGATATGTGACTATTGATATATGGTTATATAGCCATATATCAATCATCCGTCATTTCTCTGTGACAAATGTTGGGGTGTGGCACAATCCAAAAGAGTGTGACATTCATATTTTCCGGAGATTGGAGTTTATTGTTTGAAAGCTCATTATGCAAGAAAGCTGTAGCTGTAGATTACTGCCATACTGAAAAATGAAGGCAAATCGGTGATTTGCAGCTACTGGAAATCTAAGGTGAGGCTAGCTCTACAGAATGGTATAAACGTACAGAAAACTGTGGAAAGGAGGATATTAGCGATCAAACAGTTGTGCATACTTTTGGGACACCCTGTGTAATCAATTTAGACTTGGAAGTATTTTATGTTAGCCCATCCGCCTCAAGGCAAACTCAGTTTCCAGTGCCACCTACGAGGATCCACTTGTGCACAAAGCGCATGGAACATGGCCGGAGACAAGAACTGAACCTCAACTACTTCAACTGCCTCGAATAAAATTGGATAAGCTCCGCCCCTCAGCAACAGGCTTCGAACACATGACCAAGTGGGCGGGGCTCTCCACGAAAGGCGCACTGCCCCGCATACTTTGCATTTATAGCTGCACGCACATCGATGCTACAAGCCCTCAAGCAGACAAAAAACTGGAAAAATGGCTTGTTGTGACTTGCCAACGATTTTACATTTCTAAACTAAAAAGCGAAGTTCTCCCCATGACCGTGGCCGTTTGTTAGATGCATATCGGCTGAAGCCGTTCTAAGAGCTAATTTCAAATCTCCATGCCGTTTTTACGGAGCGCTCTTCTAAAAAAAGTTATGGAAGTTTGGAAATGCCGAGAATTGGAGTAGAGCGGTCAGTGGTCGCCCTCGTAAGATGTAACCATTTTACAGCACATGCAGCTCTTGAATATTCATTGCAAAGGCTAGAGATAGTGCTTTCAATTTTTTTGTTGCATATGAACAAAAACTCGTGCATTCGTTCGGAGAATGAGTAACTACTAGTTCTCGACATTCCACGTTTGCAGGCTTCAAAAATTGCAAAAATCTATCGGATATCTCAGGCGCAGCTGTATGGATAAAATTTTGCTTTTTAGAGGTGCGCTGCAACAGACTGTGATGATGGTGTGTGATTCGAAAATAGCACTGTCTTTGCTCTGTTTCATGAGCGCTTATAGCGTTCTTATTGCAAGGAAAAGAACATATCAAAGCTACTCTTGAAAAAGCTAGTTGTTGTTGAAACATTTTTTGAGGCATTGAAAACTCCATATACCCCTGTGAAAAGCTTTTCATACTCTATTTAGAATATTCGTTGATATACATGGGATTGCGGATATTTGCTAAAAATGAGTTCATCAAGTTTCTATAAAAATTGAAAAGAACCTTTGTTTCTCGTATTGCCGGAGCGTCACTTCGTTTGACACTTTTTAATCATACGCTATATGTACAGCTAATAGAATTGAAAGCAAGTAGCAGTGTCATTTGCACACTGCTATTTGCCCCATATAAGTCATACACTTTTTCTAATAAACATCAGGTATTAGGATAGGATAAAGGATTTGGCGTCTTTAATACAGCGGGCATGCGCCGAACGCACACTACTTCATGGTCGAGGAGGCAATTGTATTGCGTGCGAGCCTATTACAGTGATTTGTGGGGGCCAGCCGTTTACCAAGTCAGTGCTTTTATCCTCCCAGATTCTCTCACCAATTTACCTGCCCCGGAGGGTAGAGGGCTTGGTTGGTCCAGGGGCGAGGATCGAACCTGTATCCGATCTGGTCATAACCTCGGCGCCTCATACCACTACGCCACTCGTCCCCAACATCAGGAATTCGATAGAGCAAATAAGCTATACAGGAAGGTGCATACGTTCGAAATGCTGATTTAAAGGCAGCGTTGACCCAAAAATTTCGTCCTCCATGTTTCTATTGTTATCGGGCCTTTCCACGGCGCTGATTTCGGATGCGAGGTTCAAATTACCAGAAAGCTCCAAAATTGCTCTTTTCTGAAGCCCTATTTTGGCAGACGTAGACGAATGCCCGGCGCTAGTCACGTCGTATGCTACAGGAACCTCATCGTATGCAACAGTGCCACATCACAAACTATGCTCTTGACGGTGCTTGCCATGTCCGAACACGTCAAGGGGCAATCCGTGAGTGGGTGTAAAAAAAAGGGGGCAGAGCGCGAAGGGGATCCAGGTGCGTTATTTCCTTTTGTAGGCAACATTAGGGGACCGGACCAACGCGGTTGGCCTACTTTCAGTGCCTCCTAGTAGGATAAGTAGTAATCTAGGGTGAACAGATTTTGCGTGGACGCTGCCATTAAGCGTGAAGCATCCGAGAAAGAGAAGATACATTGGATGCTACTGAAAAACTAGGGCGTGTAGGGAGCTAAAATTTACGTCATACTTAGGGCGTGAAGTATGAGCTGCTAATGTAAGAACAGCACAGCATCCTTTGGTTGCATGAAAATCTTCTTTTACTGATTGTCGGCTCAGAAAAAATACAGTAACGGTAGATGTTCTGATGTGGAGTGGATATGCGTGAGTGAGTGAGAGATCTGTGATATTTTTTCAAACAAAGATAAAAAATTTCAATTTTTTGGGCACCTGCTTTAGATTTTGGTTTCAAACTTGAGGGGGGGGAGTGTCGAAGCTAATGCATACTTATAAACGCCGTTTTGTAGAGACTGTTCTGCACTATCGGCTGGTATCCTGAAGTTTACAAGAAATCGGAAGTGTAGGTTTCATCGCGGTAAAAATCAAAAAATAGGATTTTCGGGACGATCTAACATGAGCGACTTTGCTGGTCCGCTCTGACGGATCTTTGAGCAAGCATTTTGTCACCATGGATGGAAAAAAAGTAATTTTTATTATCCGTAGGGTCGAATTGACTTTAGTTGTACCTCGAGAAAATAGCGAAACAACGTTTAACAAATACATAAAGGGATTACATGTCGAAAATCTACTTTTTCGGAAAGTCTCAAAAACAATTGAACTGTGAACTGCGCGTAATGGCAGTTGCGGTAAAAACTCACTCATTGTGCAAGAGATTTTTGTCCAGATAGGCCCTAGCCGAGGGATGGTTTGGTAGTGCAGGCTTTTCCGGTTCGGTCGACATGATAGTACCCATCCCTAAAACAACTGCATCAGCCTTACAAAAATTATTTAAAATCGCGAATGAAACGGAAAAACATCGATAACATAAGAGAAGATGAACGATGGTTATCGAGAATACGGGTGTCTTGAATAAGCATATGTAGGAAAACTTACAAACAAAATCATGTTTTTGGAGGGAAGAATGTGGCGTGGTTTCCTCCAGATTTCATTTCGAGAAATTATCTTTCATTGGCGTCCACGTAAAAAGTGCCCAATTTAAGATCAGAAAAGTATAAGCGAACCCGCCACTGCTACATTAAAGCATAATTTCCAGGGCCATCCGGAAAAAAATTGGAGGGTGCTTTGAAAGGAAGCTAAAACTTATCATGTTGTGTATTAGGATGAAGACTCGAGAGCAGCAGAAAGTGCAACACATTACACTCGCAAATGATGAAACAGGTGTATTCGATTTGCCAAGCCATACGAGCGCCAAAGAAGGAGCTAAATTGATTTTTAATGCGTATCTCCACGGGCGCTAAAGATGTAAAAATGCAAGTGACACTTTTACACTGTAAACTCAAATATTATAGTTTACAGTATTTTTTAAAATTCAAAGGAGCCTTGTGGCTGCCGGCACCTCTCCTTGTTCCTTTTCTACAAGGTGCAAAAGTAAGTAGGCATTTTTAGTCAATACACCTCTCCCCAGATTTTCTAGTTGGTTTCAAAAATCATTTAGTAGAACAGGCTTCAACTCGGATTTACAGTATGAAGCAAATCACCAATCGCTCTTCATTACTGTAGGTCTACGGTAGGGAATTTGAAGTAGGTTTTGAGCCATTCAAAGTTCATTTTCTCCTGAATGGATACTCCAAAGCTGATAACTTCATGATTGGGCTAGAAGTCGCTGATTACGGATATGATTTCACATTTTGCTTTTTAAATTGACTGAAATCGAGGCACCAATTGCCGGAACTCAGCTCAACATCTTTAATTCCTTGAAAACCTCAATATTGAGACTGCTTCGACCTTTCCACCTGTATATATTCCATTGCATTCTCCGAATTTTGCCTCTCGCAATGATGCTGACTACTATTCCTGTCGCAATCCTATAGTATTAGGTTGGCACATAAGTTTTGCAACTTTTCCCGTAACTTTTTTCCTATTCTATGTAGCAATCTCATTTTGTGGCATCATGTAGATCGTGATGTAAGCTACAAGTCTGCGCAAACCGTTTGATTTTTGATAACATAGTACAAAAAATCTAAGCATTTTTTGAAAACTGCTGAAAATCGAGGTTTCACGATTTTTTGGCAAACATGAAGCCCTACGAAACCTGATTCAAACATATGAAAAAGCAATTATAGGCAGCATGTAGCTGGAAGTTGGCACATTGGGTGAAAAGGAAATGAAATTTAAACACAAATTAAGGTGGGACGCCTTTGAGAAGTTGAACAAGTCAAATGCGTCAAGTTTTGAAGGCAATTTGTCGATAACTGAGCTGCGAAAAGTCAATTCGCTATAACTTTGCACTATAGGGTAATCCTATGCGGTAAACACGAATATCACATTTATTTGTCGCTAAAATGAAATTCATCTTTTGATTTCACGAACGAGGCCTTTTCATGCGAAACGGATCTCATTTTTGTGATCAGCATGTTAAATAAGCCCTATAGGCCAAGTTTCAGCAAAATCTGATGCATTCTAAAATTTTTCCCATAGTACCGTAAGCCTACCGTAATCCTCACATAAGAAGGTAAAATTCGGCAAAAATGTGTGCATTAGAAGCTTACATCATATTCCTTATATTGCCAAAAAATGAATGCGCTACGTTCAAATAGACAAAAGTTACCGTCTGCACCCCAGAGAGGTTCCCATGTGAACCAGCGTGCGTACGTGGTGCGATGCTGCCTTTCGCTCTTTTTGACACGTTTCTCCTGAGATTTCAACGGAAGTGCCCGAGGTTAACACGTTCAAAAGTGCGAAAGGCAGCGAGATGACGTGGTACTTATGGGAACTTCTCTGGGGCGCAGACGATATATAAAAAGTTGCATTACTTATGTGCCAACCTAATAAAAACTGATGGGTGATTTGCTCCACCTGTAATCTAAGTGAAGCTTGCTGCTGATTGCTCTACTGAACAATACTTGAAGTCAAGCAAAGGACCTTGTGGGAAAAAAGTTGTTAACAATCAAAAATGGGTTCTTGTTCTTGGGACATCCTGTAAATCTTCAGGTTATCGGCCCGTGAACGCTGTAGGGAGCACTCCAAAAGAATCGGAATGTGTAACTGATTTGTCCCCCTCCCTCACCCCAAAAGATTCTTGGGACTGTCACGGGCTTATATAAAATCCTCCGGGCACGCAGATATTACGTGGACATTGCTTTGAAGGAAAACCTCAAAAAGGTGCGCAAACCTTTCAAAATGCATAATGAAACCAAATTCCCGGGGACAATCATTCGCTCACGCATCGAACGAGGGCAAAGACTTGTCCTGTACATACTTTGCGTAAACATAGTTGTTTACGATTTGGTCGAGTTACGCAGGATACATACAATACCCAGGCGTAAAGTTCAAAATCTCTGTGCATTGAAAAGCGTTTTGAAGATGTTTGAGCTATCTACTGTTTACGGAATGATAGGCATTTCTGACGGTAACATGGTCGTTGTCGCATCGGCAGTACGTCATAAACACCGGGAATTTCATCACTATCAGCTGAACTGCAGTATTGTCATCAATGCATAAAGCAATAAAATATAGGAAGTAACTACCCCCATCACCTCGGTAACATACTGAGGGGAAAACATTATGTAAGAAAACATAGAGAAATCATGCGCGGTTTGGATTGGATTTATATTAGAAGAAGGATTAATTTGAGCGAAGGTTATGGTTAGTTTCCTTTCAATTCTCTCTCTCAAGCGCAAACGACTTCCCTCCTTACTGACGATTTTCGGGATGAAATGTACTTTCATCCGTTTCCGTCTTTGGCAGGGTACTCTATGAAATAGAGTATTTCTGAGTTTTGCTATTTTCTACAATGTTTATTTTTCTTATTGCATTAATGACCTCAAAAGGTTTCTTAAGGACATTGCTTAGAGAAAATTACAGTAACCGAAGCGAAGATGTACACTAGAACTGGTGGCGGTTAACATCGTTTTGCAATTATTCAACTTCTGTAAAAAAAAACAATATCGTTTCGATATGCGCGACGCGTCTCTGCAGTTCCGAAGTCTTCTCCAATACCTTGGCATGGTGTGAACGCATTAAAGTGAGATTTCAAGCACTGCGACTTATTTGCGTCTTAACTAAAAAGTATAGCATATCATAAGAAACCTACTTGCCGCATCCTTCCCCCTCCCCCTTTACTGCAGTAGGTGGCGCTCGTCCGTCCGTCGATCTGGGAATCATTTTCCAACAAGACGGAGTGCAAGAACTTGACAGAAAAATTGGTTAGCACACATGCTTTTTGAAGTTTTCAAGATTTGAGTTTCACAGCTTCTACTAGAGAATTTCCAAAATACCAAGAGATATTAGGTTGGTTCAAAAATTCAAATTTTGACCTAGCCGCAAATCCCGTAAGTAACGGTTAACAGTTACATAAACTCCGGTGCAATTTCTCCTTGTAGCATTTTATTCCGAAGTGTGTCGCCCAAAGAGCGCTGACAATCGCTGAGCTTACAATCTCTTGTTTTTACCTTAACCTTTCGCAAATCTTCTTGCTTTCCGGCTGGCTCTTAAGAATTCTGGATAATTTTTCAAAAGAAAAGGGGTGTAAATTCCGGCGATAACTTACCGCTCATTGGAGAAATCATTTCGCAAGCATAGCTGCTCAAAATATCTGTAGATCTTTACTCTCTAGGGTAGGCGCAAAAAACGGGAACTCTTGCAGCGACCTAATACTAAATTCCTGAGGGATTCTCCTATGCACTTATCCAAAGTGTTGCGACTATTCTGCAACTTTTAGAGCAATAGAATATGACTTTTTAACTCGTTATGCGTAGATGGAACCTCTCTACTTCGGCATCGTCTGTTGACAAGGGCCGGAAGTAGTAGTCATTCAAAGCTATTGCTCCTCAACGAAATAAACTGGAACCGGTGCGCTCTACATGCTGTAGTCAAAATGAAATCAATGATTGAATGTCGCTTTATAACAGTTGATTGACTGGCTTCCTTCCGATTGCAACTGTCAACATACTGCTTTCGAACTTTCGATAGGTCAACGTTAGGTCTAAACTTGGAGAAAGAAGGAATGCTGAGAACAGCAATGTTAAATTCACGAAGTTGGATGGGAGAAAACGAGCAATGCCGGTTTTTACGGCTAGGTGATGGAAAAAGTGATAAGTCGCATCAGTAAAATTTATGGCTGCTAGCGATGTTTGAGATAAGATCAACCAAAAAGTCATTGATTGAGAAAAAACTCTGTTAGCTTCAGCAGTACCATGGATACTGAGCAAGAATATGTACAAGTAGAAGTGCAAAAGGAGATTAGGAAATATGGCTTGGCATTGAAACTAGTAGTTATCTACAGCATGCATATTATACTTGGGGAAATTCGAAATTTTTTCGAATATTCGAATATCGAATATATTCAAAAATCGAAAATTTCGAATATTCGACTATCGAATAATATTCGAAAATCGAAAATGGTTTTAACTTGCATTTTGGCGGTGTATTTTACTAGAATTCCGAATATTCGACTATCGAATATATTCGAAAATCGAAAATTTCGATTACTCGACTATCGAATATCATTCGAATATCGAATATTATTCGAATTTCGAATATCATTCGATTTTCGAATATTATTCGAAATTTGAATGTCTGGGTGATATGATAACATGACCAAGCGCATAGTTTACTAGTACTGTGGGTCTTTGTAGTTTCCTTTTATGCGACTACTACTCTGCAGTGCATGAAGTATATCTCAGTGCGCTGCGCGGACTCTTTACATCCAGCTCGTGCTGTCTGCAACTCGACGATGCACATATAGTATACACATGTTAACTGTGTAGTGCTATACACTCAACTTTCAGATCGGCACTCATG